GCTATACAGTGGGACCTTGTTGTTTATCCATTCTGTATATAATAGTTTGCATCTGCTAATCCCAAACTCCCAGTCCATCGCTCCCTCCCCTTCCCTCCTGTTTGGCAACTACGAGTCTGTTTCTGTTTCATGAAAGTTCATTTATGTCATATTTTAGATTCCACATATCATATGATATTTGTCTTTTTCAGTTTGACTTGTTTTACTTAGCATGATAATCTTTAGGTCCATCCATGTTGCTCCAAATGGCATTATTTCATTCTTTTCTATGGCTGAGTAGTATTCTTGTGTGTGTGTGTGTGTGTGTGTGTGTGTGTGTGTGTGTGTGTGTGTGTGTATGTGTGTGATGCCACATCTTCTTTATCCATTCATCTGTCAATGGACATTTAGGTTGCTTCCATATCTTGGCTATTGTAAATAGTGCTGCTGTGAACATAGAGGTGCATGTATCTTTTCAAATTATAGTTTTGTCCAGATATTTGCCCAAGAGTGGGATTGCTGGATCATATGGTAATTCTATTTTTAGTTTTTTAAGGAATCTCCATACTGTTTTCCATAGTGGCTGCACCAATCTCCATTCCTACCAAAAATGTAAGAGGGTTCCCTTTTATCCACACCCTTTCCAGCATATATTATTTGTGTAATTTTGACGATGGCTATTCTGACTGGTGTGAGGTGGTACCTCATTGTAGTTTTGATTTGCATTTAATAATTAACGATGATGAGCTTCTTCTCATGTGCCTATTGGCCATCTATATGTCTTTTTTGGAGGAATGTCTACTTAGGTCTTCTGCCCATTTTTTTTTTTTTTTTGCGGTACGTGGGCCTCTCACTGTTGTGGCCTCTTTCGTTGAGGAGCACAGGCTCCGGATGCACAGACTCAGCGGCCGTGGCTCACGGGCCCAGCTGCTGCGCGGCATGTGGGATCTTCCCGGACCGGGGCACGAACCCGTGTCCCCTGCATCGGCAGGCGGACTCTCAACCACTGCACCACCAGGGAAGCCCTTTTTTTTTTTTAACGCTAAGGAAACATCTTTCAAATCCTGTTTTCTTGAGTGTTTTTTATTTTGCTGTACGTGGGCCTCTCACTGTTGTGGCCTTTCCCGTTGCGGAGCACAGGCTGCAGACGCGCAGGCTCAGCAGCCATGGCTCATGGGCCCAGCCGCTCCGCGGCATGTGGGATCTTCCCAGACCAGGGCACGAACCCGTGTCCCCTGCATCGGCAGGCGGACTCTCAACCACTGCGCCACCAGGGAAGCCCAGTTTTCTTCTTTTTTTTGCATGTTGGGGGCAGGAATTTTCATTAGCTGAAATATTTCAATTTCAATTTTCTGTTTTGATATACTGCCTTTGTTATACTGTACATTTTGTGGAGAGGTTTGGGAGTTTTAGGTGATTCTTCTGTCAATTATGGTGAGGCACAGCTTATTTAGAGCCTTTTTAAAAAAAAAAAAAAAAGCGTTGGTGGGTTAAAGTTGGCTTGTTCTCCAATATCATGGTTCTCTTTTGTCTTGAAGGACTTTTGCATCTTTTCTCCTTTAGCACTCAGCCTCCAAAGGGTACCTCTCCCTTCATGTTCACTCTCTTCTCCTTAAGAAGTGATGCCTTCCCAAGACTACCACCTTGGGTTCTACAAACTTCTTGGTGGCGTTATGATTGCCCAGGGTTTTTTTTTTGTTTTTTTTTTTTTAAGTATTTACATACTTAGAGTGGACTTTTTCTTTCTAGAGGTGATTTTTGTCACCATTAGGCTCTCAGCTTTCCTTTTCTCTGTGCAGTTATTTTGAACTGCCCCATTCTTTGCAAAGGCTTCTTACAGGAGCTCAAGAAATATCTTTGCTGGAATTTGATGCTTATTTTTCTACCTACAGGTAGTTTGAAGTTAGTAGTATTCTCTGTCTTCCAATAATATAGAAGGTATGGGTTATATGCTTTTCTTGTTTCACTGTATAGTTTTTTGTAGGATGTGTAGAGTAATTCAAATTTAGCTGGTCACCATTTTGTTAGGAATACCTGGAAATATGTATCGTCTTTTAAGTACTTTTTCTTTCAGAACCTAAATATAACTAACCTTGTACAGAATTACATTTATTCTTCAAGCAACAGAAATTTATTCTCTCACAGTTCTAGAGGCCAGAAATCCTTAATCAGTTTCACTAGACTGAAATGAAGGTGTTGGTATTGCCACATTCCCTCTGGATACTCTAAGTTATAATCCACGCCTTACGTTTTCCAGCTTCTGCTGGTTGGTGGTGTGTTTTTGGCTTGTGTCCACATCACTCCAGCCTCTGCCTTCACCTTCACATCACCTTCTCCACTTGTGTGTGTCAAAACCTCCCTCTGCTTCTCTCTTAAGGATGCATATTATTGCATTCAGGGCCCACTTGGGTAGTCCAGGATCATCTCCCTATTTCAAGACCCTTAACTTAATCCATCTGCAAAGTCCCTTTTTAGTCAGATAAGGTAACATTCACAAGTTCCAGGGATTAGGTTATGAGTATCTTTTGGAGGGCCATTCTTAAGCCTACCATAGATAGTATTGTCTTATTTTGTTGTTGTTATTTGATATAACCTAATTCTTAAAAGTATAAACATTAGAGGTGGTAATGGGAGTTCAAACTGGTTTGGATTTTCCCAACTTGTACAGAAATCTCATTATGACACTTTTCTTAGGACTTATCCTGAAGGTTGGACTTAGACCTAACTAACACTGTCTTACAGAGGAGTCTTTCTGATGCTTTGATAACTAGCCATAATGTGAATGGACCACATTACAGCCTTTTGTTAACTAAACTTAATAGCAACTAGTGTTCAATGTGCTGTCCGCAGGTTGCTTTAAAGCAACTCCTCTAGGTTGAGGTTTGTAGAGCCACTAAATAAGATTTCCCCTTTCCTCTCTCGTTGTTGTTGTTGTTTTCCCATAACAGTTTTATTGGTTTATAGTTCACATACCATACACTCTACCCATTTAAAGCATAATATTCAAAGATCTTCAGATTTTTAGTATATTCATTGAATTGTTCAACCTACAGTCAAGTTCAGAACATTTTCGTTACCCTCAAAGAAGCCCTATGCTCTTAAATAGTCAGACCCTATTTTCTCCCAAACCTTTCAGTCCAATCTAATTTGCTAGATGAATCTGGGTTTTTTTGTTTTTGTTTTAAATCTCTGTGGATTTGCCTGTTTGGACATTTCCTCTGTATAGAATCATGCAGCACGTGATATTTTGTGTCTGGGGTCTGTCACATGTCTTCAAGCTTTATCCATATTGTAACATGTTAGCACTTCGTTCTTTTTATGGCTGAATAATATTCTTTTGTGTGGATAGAGCACATTTTACTTATCCATTCATCAGCTGGTGGACATTTGGGTTGTTTCCACTTTTAGACCCTCTACCTCTTTTAAATATTAGTCTAGTTGGGGAATAGACAAAGAAATCAGACAACTGAAGATTGAAAAATCAGCTTTATCAGTGATAAAGCTGATTACAGGAAAAGGCTTATCTCTCTCACCCCCTACACTGTAGCTCTTCTTCTCATTCCCTCTCCCCGCCTCCCTGAAACACAGGGGCAGAGTCTGCTCCAGTCACTTTACTTCAGTGATGAGCAGAGACTGTGCTCTGAGGACAAGCTCCTTCATAGAAACCATGTACTTTCTCTAGAGAAAGAGAGAGGAGGACATAACCTATAGCACAAAACTTCAGAAAGGGCAAATCGCTCCTGGTTTAGGAGCCAGCATAGCTAGGAAACTGGGAGGGAGATGGAATGATTCCTTCTAATACCGAGAAGACTGGCATTTTAGATTTTTATCTTATAAGTTAAAGCAAAACATATTTCTCTTTGATTATGAATTATTAAAAGTTTCTTCAAATCAAACATGCAAACAGTTGAACAAGTTAAATGATAGTACTTATTAATTCTGATATAACTTGTCCCATAATTTATAGGTTTCTCCACAAAATAACGGAAGATAATTCCGAGTTAATTAATAAACTATGGACTGATATTCAGCAGAAAGCAGCAACACAATCACAAATAACAACCTCTTCAGGAACTCCATCATCTGCTTCTCCATCAGGAGAACAAAAAGGTTTGGCTCCTGACTGTATTAGTTCTCCCAGAGTAGTACCTTACTTCATTATGTTCTTTCTTAAGCACAGTAATTTTTTAAAGGAACATTACTTGAGTTTTGACTGTCTTAGCCTGGTTGAGTAAATACTCATTGACCTGTCGATTGACATGCTTAAAATTTTTTTGTTGTTGTTCACTTGAGATACTTCTGGAAAAATTCTCCCTTTTAGCTGCTCTGAATGCTACCAATGCTGTTAAGAGAATCCATACGAGGCTTCAACTGGAAGAATCTACTGAGACTCTAGACTCAAGCTATGTAGTGAGACAAGTGCTGAACTCAAGGAAGCAAAAGCAGCTGCTAAATAAAGGTTCAGTCTCTTAATTGACAAAGTGGGTTATTAAACGTGCAACTTGACACAGCTATCTTAGTTTATTAGTGCATGTCTTTTCCCTTAAACTCATCCAGTTGGATCCTACTAAGTAAGAGTTTGTTGAATGGTAGCCAGGCAATGCCTCCTTTTATTCCATGTAACTCTAGAAGGATGGTTCTCATCCATTCATTATAGATAGTGTAAATCTGGTTCAAACAGTGTAGATTCTTTATGAGAAAATGATGATAACTTCGATAAAAAACCTTTTATAAATTGTGAACAACAGTCAAACGTTTTTCTACTGTAGTTTTTCCCAGTCTTAACATAGAATGACTTCTGTCATTATCAGTGAAAAGAAAACCAGATTTGCGTGCTCCTTCAAAACAGAAGAATAGCGTGTTATCAGCCAGCACAGCCTCCACAGACTTACCGAATAGCAGTAACCCCAGCCTAGATGTCCTCAAACACATGATACATGAAGTGGAACATGAAATGGAAGAATATGAGCGGTGGACAGGACGCGAGGTCCGGGGGCTCCAGAACAGTCAGGGTCTCACCGGCTTCACCCTGTCGCTCGTGAGCTCCCTCTGTCGCCTGGTTCGGTACCTTAAAGAGGTGAGGTTATTAGAGTCTTCTCTTCTGCCAGACTAATGGCAGAAATGGGTAGGTTTTTCCCCTCTACACTTGAATTATTGCAATCTCCAAATAAAGTATAGTCAAATTTGAATAGCTTTGTTTAAAATACCTCAGCTTTAGATGATCTGTAGTAAAGGTTTATCCTCTTAATTTTCCTCTACATCCTTATACAGATAACATCAGATAAGTGATGTTGATTTTAATATGAGCTTTAGTAAAATATAATTAGTTAGGTAAACCTGCTATAAATAACATTATATCTTGTGCTAATACTTAATATTACTGTTTGGCAGTTACAGGTTAATGAGAACTACTAAACATGTCCTCATTCTACTGCTTTTCTCTGCTTGCTATTCCCACTTCAGTTCAGTTTGGAGAGTGGTATGCCTGTAATCTGTAGACACAGATTAGGAAAATTCTTCATATTATTTGTATCACTGGTAACTTGGGCTTTGCTTCAGTGTTTGAAATGGGAGACATTTTATTGTTGTAAAAGTAATTTATAAGACAAGCAAGAATTGTATCTTTTATTTATTTGTTTTTACATCTTTAAAGAATTGTATCTTTAATTCATTTGTGAATAATAATCAGTCCTCAGAATGCTGTGGGATTAGAAATGGTTATGTATTATACCTTTTTAAAAAGCCTATTTAAACTGTTATTTATTTTTTATATATTTAAATTTGTTAAGCAAATATGACCAAAAACTGTTTAAGGAAATTTTATCATTTAAAAAAAGTTGATTCACCAACCTAATTTACATGTATCAATTTCTCTGGAGATGTCTTCCTAAATTTTCTTTTTAAAAAATTAATTAAAATGTTTACTTCTGTTTTATATTTTTTAATTTTATTTTTTATGTTGGAGTATATTTGATTTACAATGTTATGTTAGTTTCAAGTGTACAGAAAAGTGATTTAGTTATACATATACATATGTCTATTCTTTTTCAGAGTCTTTTCCCATATAGTTTATTACAGAGTGTTGAGTAGAGTTCCCTGTGCTAAACAGTAGGTCCTTGTTGATTATCTATTTTATATATAGTAGTGTGTATATGTTAATCCCAACCTCCTAATTTATCCCTAGCCCCCGCTGCCAACCTTGCCCCTTTGGTAACCATAGTTTGTTTTCTAAGTCTGCTAGTCTGTTTCTGTTTTATAAATAAGTTCATGTGCTATACAGTAGGTCTTGTTGGTTATCTATTTTATATATAGTAGTGTGTGTATGTTAACCCCAACCTCCTAATTTATCCCTAGCCCCCCCACCCCCCTCCACCAACCTTTTCCCTTTGGTAACCATAGTTTGTTTTCTAAGTCTGCTAGTCCGTTTCTGTTTTGTAAATGAGTTCATTTGTATCATTTTTTTTAGATTCCACTATAAGTGCTATCATATGATATTTATCTTTGTCTGACTTACTTCACTTAGTATGATAATCTCTAGGTCCATCCATGTTGCTGCAAAGGACATTATTTCATTCTTTTTTTATGGCTGAATAATAATCCATTGTATATATATACCACATCTTCTTTATCCATTCATCTGTTGATGAACATTTAGGTTGCTTCCATGTCCTGCCTATTGTAAATAGTGCTACAGTGAACATTGGGTTGTGTGTTTCTTTTCGAAGTATGGTTTTCTCCAGATATATGCCCAGGAATGGGCTTGCTGGATCATCTGGTGGCTCTGTTTTTAGTTTTTTAAAGAACCTCCATACTGTTCTCTGTAGTGGCCATACCAATTTACATTCCCACCAACAGTGTAGGAGGGTTCACTTTTCTCCACACCCTTTACAGTATTTATTGGTTGTAGACTTTTTGAAGATGGCTGTTCTGATAAGTGTGAGGTGATACCTCATTATAGTTTTGATTTACATTTCTCTAATAATTAGTGATGTTGAGCATCTTGTGCTTTTTGGCCATCTGTATGTCTTCTTTGGAGAAATGTCTATTTAGGTCTTCTGCCCATTTTCTGATTGGGTTGTTTGTTTTTTTGATATTGACCTGCATGAGCTGTTTATATAATATATTTTGGAGATAAATCCCCTGTTGGTCACATCATTTGCAAATACTTTCTCCCATTCAGAGGGTTGTCTTTTTGTTTTGCTTGTTGTTTTCTTTGCTGTGCAAAAGCTTTTAAGTTTAATTAGATCCCATTTGTTTGTTTTTATTTTCATTACTCTAGGAGGTGGATCCAAAAAGATAGTGCTGCGATTTATGTCAAATACTGTTCTGCCTAAGTTTTCCTCTAAGAGTTTTATAGTATCCGGTCTTACATTAAGGTCTCTAATCGATTTTGAATTTATTTTTGTGTATGGTGTTAGAGAATGTTCTAATTTCATTCTTTTACATGTAGCTGTCCAGTTTTCCCAGCACCACTTATTGAAGAGTCTGTCTTTTCTCCACTGTATAATTTTGCTTCCTTTGTCATAGATTGATTGACCATGGGTGTGTGGGTATATTTCTGGGCTTTCTATCCTGTTCCATTGATCTATAAGTCTATCTTTGTGCCAGTACCATACTGTTTTGATTACTGTAGCTTTATAGTATAGTCTGAAGTCAGGGAGCCTGATTCCTCAAGCTCCATTTTTCTTTCTCAAGATTGCTTTAGCTATTCAGGGTCTTTTGTGTTTCCATGCAAACTTTAAGATTTTTTTGGTTCTAGATCTGCAAAAAATGCCATTGGTAATTTGATAGGGATTGCATTGAATTGGTAGATTACCTTGGGTAGTGTAGTCATTTTTACAATATTGATTCTTCCAAGCCAAGAACATGGTATATCTTTTCACCTGTTTGTGTCTTCTTCGATTTCTTTCATCAGCATCTTATAGTTTTAGGAGTACAGGTCTTTTGCTTAGGTAGGTTTATTACTAGGTATTTTATTCTTTTTGATATGATAGTAAATGGGATTGTTTCCTTAATTTCTCTTGCTGATTTTTTGTTGTTAGTGTATAGAAATGCAACAGATTTCTGTATTAATTTTGTATTCTGCAACTTTACTGAATTCATGGATTGCTCTAGTAGTTTTCTGGTAGCATCTTTAGGATTTTTTTATGGGCCATGCAAAGAACCATAAATATTACTTACTCTGCAGGCAAAGGGAAATCCTTGACCTGTCCTCAACAAAGGAATGACACAAATGGATTAACATACTGAACCTATCCAGGTTCTGCATGGTGGACTCATTGTAGGAGAGCAGAGCTCCCACTGTTCTTTCCCCACATCATTGCAAGGAATAATGGTTTTGCTTTCTCTGAGAAAAAGCAAGGAGTGAAAAATACGTCCACCTTCATTAGGTCCAGAAGCTCCACCTGGGGAAGAATTTTCACTAAATGTAATCACTGTTTTCCACTGGACTGCTGATGAGATCTTTGTTAAGTAGAACATATTTCTTCAATTCTTACACCTAAACATATCTCCTCTCCCTATTATTTTACCTAGAAGCAATAACAATGTCCGAAGATGTGCAGTTCTAGCAGGAGTGATAGTGCACACATTCTCAAGCAGGACACCTTTGGAGTAATTCAGAAATTACAGCCACAGTTCTGTAACAAAGAGAAATGGATATGGTAGCTCTCTGAAAAACAATAATGCATCATGCAAGTAAACATTATTACCAGGAGTTCAATACCAAATATGTGTAAACTAGGACAAGCACCTGCACTAAACTTCTGGTTCTCATCACTTGGCCCATTGAGTCTCTCTGTGTAAGCAAGTATCAGAAAAAGATGTTTGGCACTGCCATGACAATAAATCTATCAAAGTTGGAAGCACTGAACTCTGTGAATTATTTCCCAAAATACAAAGCTCAAGCTGGAAAGAGTTGTATTCACCTGAGGCATTTCTGTGAAAATAAATATTACATAAAAGAGACAATGGACATAATCAGTGTCTAGATTGATATAGGATTTTTAGTGACTTTCAGAAGACACTTATGATATGCAAAATTGCATTCTCTTCTTGTTTGTAATTATTATGCTGAAATGTATTGAGCAAACACTTTGATGTAAATATTGAAGCAGCTATTTGCTTTTTAACACAGTAGTGCAAGGTCATTTCTCCAAAGTGGGGGGGAAATTAAAACTACATGAGTAGCTCTGGAATGTCACACTGATGTTAACGTTACTATTTAGATTAAACTATCAGTTTCAATGACTATGGAAAAAATTGAAAAGCATTTTTCCCATTTAAACTTATCAGACAGATAATACCAAAGTGGGGACATGATTTTCCCCTTGGCTCTGGTTAGTCTTGTATGTAGAAAGTGTATGGATAATTTTTCAAGCTTATCAGGGCCTATAGACATACTGACTACATTGTTCTGCAGGGCACAGATCCTACTGGCTTGAAGAGATACTGCAGAAGCCTATCAGCTAGATGAATGTACCTCTCATGTTTTTGTTTCCTGGTTGAGTACACAGATCAAAAAGGTGGCATGTTTTTTTTTTTTTAACATCTTTATTGGAGTATAACTGCTTTACAATGGTGTGTTAATTTCTGCTGTATAACCAAGTGAATCAGCTATACGTATACATATATCCCCATATCTCCTCTCTCTTGCATCTCCCTCCCACCCTCCCTATCCCACCCCTCTAGGTGGACACAAAGCACCGAGCTGATCTCCCTGTGCTATGCTGCTGCTTCCCACTAGCTATCTATTTTACATTTGGTAGTGTATATATGTCCATGCCACTCTCTCGTGTTTGTGGTTTTTACAGTTTTTTTCTCGTAGTTGATTTCTAATCTCATAGTGTTGTGGTTAGAAAAGATGCTTGATATGTTTTCAGTTTTCTTAGATTATTGAGGCTTTCTTTATGGCCCACTATGTGATCTATCCTGAAGCATGTTCTGTGTGTACTTGAGAAGAATGTGTATTCTGCTGCTTTCGGGTGGAATGTTCTATAAATATCAATTAAGTACATTTGGTATAATGTATAATTTAAGGCCTGTGTTTCCTCATTGACTTTCTTGTCTGGATGATCT